AATGCATTATTATACCTTGCCACGTGACTCCATCGTTCCTTCCGAAATAGGAAATAATTCGAAACTTTATGTCTGCGAGAAGATAATTTGTCCGAGGAACCAGATGCATTAATTCCCTTTGCATGAACTTAAAAATTTGTCGCGGAGTTTTATATAAAAGCTCTTCCGTTACGGCTGCTATACCTGAACGAATCGAATGTACCTAGTAAACAAACGAAAACAACTAAGTAGTTGCGACTGAGAAGAAGTTATTGATGGTGAACAATTTTTCTTTTTAATTAATAAATTTTAATTTTTTGCAACTATACCTGCCGATGATTTATAGTTAAGGTACACTTGTCACAGACCCAAGGACTTTTAATATTAAGCGGATCGCGAGGCAATAACTGTCCGGAACATTTATCAGATGCGCACAAGAGAGCACCTAATTTAGTTCCAAACTCCTAAACGATTCAAGAACATAAAACTCGTCCTTTACTCCATCTCCCATAACTTTTTATACTCAATTCCTCCAGACTTACAGTAGAATCGCTACACCTCCCGCACGTACAGGAGAACTGTTTGGTGACGCTTAAAAATTGCCTCCGCAACGTGGTGTCCCAAAATAGACTAGTATAGGTCATAGTCAATTCCTCGCCGGCAGAGATCGGACGAGTCGTGTTGACGTAGAGCCTGCATTCCGCGTCGAAGTGATGGCTGGTATTCGGTACACAGCAATGATTTTGCAATGCTGCTATAGGATAGAGGCCTCGCAAACTTGAGGAACGATCCTTATCATGAACTTTTACCGTTTCGAAGGCATTCGTATAAAAAGCACCGCATACATGCCTCATCAGCTTCATGTCCTCCTCATTCGGAAGGTTAGCCACATTTCTCTTAAGCAGCTCAAGCTGGGAAAGTTTTAGGAACAACTGAGTATCGAAGAATCTGAAAATCCTAAACAATCGTACCTCGTAATAAATATCAGTTTGATTTGACTGAATCGAAGCTAAGCATTTTCGTTGTTGTTCAGTCAAGAAGAGCGCACGGATGGGGACCACAGCCAACATCAAGTCCAAGGACCAATCGGTGCCGCAACTCGGTGCCAATGACCTCAAGTAATCGCATTCATAATTCACGTGTTCCGGCAAGTTCTCGCATTCTACGGAACAGACCGGCAACCCGCAGCCTCTATCGCACGGAAATAACGCGCACTCGTTTTTATAACAGCACACGCACATCTGCAGATGTTTGCCTACTGCCTTTGGCCCGATTATGAGAGGCGCGTCGATGATGATTAATTCATTCTGTCGAATGTCACGAGTGGCGAACAAACCGTATCCGCCTAACGGGGAATAACGAATGGTCCATGGTTTTTCCTTTCGGAAAACATTTTTCTCTTTCAAATGAGAGATTAATAGTTCCTCCACTTTCTCCGGGTTACTATCACGATTCATGTTGAATCAGTCCACTTGTATGGTACATCTACTGTACCGTTCTTGTATCTAGTCAGACAGAGGAAGTCGAGATTTCGTTGACGACTGGCTACGGCCGTCTCTTATTGTGGTATAAGTGTTTAGATTATGTAATACGCCTACTATTCTTTCCGCATCTAATTTAATGCTCGACTTAAGATAAAGTACTCAGCAGTATTCTTATAATATACTTCATGTATGCTCGATAATAGTACTATTGTTTTAAATGGCAATCTTTTTATGTACGCATGTAGTTCGGGTTCGTCTAAAGTATAGTTGGAATTTTTTATATCCAAGTACCACTATCCATTCCATTAAGGATGTATTGGCTATACAGTC